CACGTTGCAATAATTGATCTTGCTCTCTTTCAAGTACTCTTGTTTCATATTCCATTCGTTCAAGTCGGCTTGTTTCATTTTGTATTTCGTGAAACTGTCATTCGAGTTCGCTGTCAATTTCTCTATTTTGTGTTGCTGATTGACAGTCACGCATATGGTACCTTAACTCTTGCATGCGTTCATAATACGTCGCTAGTAGCCGTTCTGTTTGCTGTCGTCTTTGTTCAATATCTCTTTCTCTACGATCATATAATTCAGATAGTATATGTCACTCATCCGAAAAGTTCATATAGCTAGTATCAACAGTTCGTTTTTTATATGCATTCCTACGATCTCTGTCTGTAATTATTTTATCATACCATGAGCAACGCACTTGCCATAATTTTAAGACAGTTGCTATTTTTTCTTGATTTTTGCTCAACTCTTGTTGGTTTTTTTCAGTTTGATACTTCATATAATCGTTGTATAGTGCGTTACGTGATTGACGTGGACATACATTATGTTCGATATGTTATTGCAATGTTTCTAGGATAAGCATGGATGTAAAATCACTTACGATTAAATATTTCATACCAATATCTATGATACGTTTCTTATTTTTTTCTGGAAATGCAGTTAATTCAGCTAACATTTGTTGTGCATATAATCGACGTAATAAACTATAGTTTTCAGATGTTGGATCCGCTTTATCTATCATAAATTCCTTACGATGCATCTGATTCGAGATGATAAAGTTGATTGCAATGTTCGCCGGAACCGATGATGACATTTTTCCGACGAGTATAAACCGTTCTGTATTTGTTGTTAACATAATTGAATGACTTGGATAAATATCATGAACAGAGGCGTTATTGATAATATCTGCACTGATATATCTTGATTGTGGTCTATCAATCCATTGAATGATATCGTTTACATTATTTTCATTTACAATTTCCTCACGTGCAATATAGCCACCACCACTAAGATTAGTTAAATGTTTAATCAACGAAAAATTGGTTGGTTCATGTGAGAAATTTGCATTAAATATCCAAATTGGTTTTGTTATCAACTGATCGAATTTTGTTGGATCATCATTACCAATTGTTGAAAGATAGTCGCTAAATAAAAAATAATGCGTCATATTTGGAACCACAGCTGGAACTGTAGCTAGTTGAAATAGATTTGTTGCGCCATCATATGATAGATTGGTTAAGAATTGACTAAGTTTAGACCAATAATCAAGGGGGAAACGGCGGATTTCGGATTTCCGGGATTTCCTGGGATTTCCGGGATTTCCGGGATTTCCATGGAATTTTCGGGATTTCCATGGGATTGCCGGGATTTCCATGGGATTTCTGGGATTTCCATGGGATTGCCGGGATTTCCATGGGATTTCTGGGATTTCCATGGGATTTCCATGGGATTTCCGGGATTTCCGTGGGATTTATAGAACATTTATAATAATAATTTGCAGTCCCGAAATTTATACAGGGTGGGAAATAATATTATTCAAGGGGGGTACCGCTATAATTGCAAATAGAAGATATGATGAATTTTATACCAAATGAAAGCGTATGAAAAATGGAGTTTATTGGTACTAAATGATGAGGATTATGAAAACCTTTTAATGTCGACTAAAATAAATTTTCAGAAATTTTATACTTTTTTGGGGTGGAAAAGTAAAGTGCCAGTAATTGAAAAATGGATTCAAATTTTTTTGTTGGATATTTTTACATGGTTCGATAGAGCTAATTGAGCTCTACAAAACTATATATACAAAAAAAATTTTTAAAAAGAGTTGTTGGGTTAAAATTCACTGAAAACTGTCCAAAGAATGTACCAAAAAACTCACATTTTTTACACTTTTTATAGTGAAAAAACCGGTCTTTTTTTGAGTGTGGGTGTGGGTGT